GCCGCAGCTCGCGCGGATATGCATCAAGGCGCGCCGCCTGACGCTGAAGTGAGATACCCGCAAAGTCACCACTCGTCGCATACGCGTCGTGAGCCGACGATAGGTACTCGAACCTGCGGGGGTGGGGAGACGGAGGCCTGTGCACGCGCCATACATGCGCAGCTCCGGCAACGCGCCAGGCCGGGGACAATTCGATATCGTCCTCGAGGATCACCACACGCGTGAACTCCTCGCCAAAGAGTCCCGGATCCGAGCACGCCAGCCACATCCCTCGCACGCCACGCTGCTCACGCGATGGGAACACGCGAGCCTCTCCGCGGTCCCACCGGGTTCCCGCCCAAATCCGCGCCAGCGCAATCACGGCCCGCCGTTGTTTCCGCTCGTCCGCACTGGCGCTCCGACCAAAAAGCCAGCCCCCCGATCGAGCCACTTGATCAACGTGAATTTCCACGTCTATTTTCGCCGTCTCCGGGTACGACGCAGCCTCCAGCGACGAAAGAAGGCGTGAGAGGGACTCGGTCCGTTTCTGAGCCAGCACTTTGACTGTCAACTGTCTTAACTCAGCGGCCAATCCCACGGGCAACAAAGCGAAAAAAAAGAAACTTCTATGCGAATTTAAAGAGAAACGAATGAAGCGCATAGTATATATCGGCACGGCCTCTATCGGCGGGAATTGAATCAGGCCCGTTCTATGACGACGTTTTTTTTGCGCACAGTCACTGCACAGTCCAAATCCTGCAAATTAGATGTCTCACGGAGCGTACTTGCCTTTTCAATCGATGTAAAAACTCAGATTCTGGGTGTACCACCTAAGGCAATAGAGAGTTTTATTTTTTCTGGATGATGCTTATATATTGTTTTGGACATTCAATATCCAAAGTGAACGTCATCAGGAAATTTATTTTAATAAAGCTTAAGCTTAATGTAGAAAAACCTAATCCTAGTTTCGTAATAAAGTCATTGTTGTCGAGCTAACGAGTCATCGTAAACGAGCTAAGCTTCAACTAGTGGGGCAGCTAGCATGGGCAGCGCCGGCGAGTCGCCCCCGCGCCAACGCGCATCGCACCGCAGCCGCACCACACATCGATC